GCCGACTGAGATTTTCGGAGAGAAAAGAGATTTGTACATATTTCAGAAGGACATAATGGAGTTGTTGCAAAGTCAAAAGCTTTGCATTTCTATCATTGAATTCTTCAACATATAAGTATTTCTCATCATTTTTGTCTAATTTTTATCTGCAATCTGAGGTAATAATTTTATGTTTTAAATGCTTAATTCAATAATCTTTAATAATTTAGTATTGTATATACATTATTCACTGTATTTGTTTCTAAAAATTATTTATTTTTTGAGTTACCACAGGTATCTCTATAATGTGCTGAAACAGTCCGAGAAAGAAAAAAAGTTTGGATTTTTGTGCCCGCTAAAATTCAAACAAGGGGCAATAGTAAGGAAGAGATAGAAGGGTATATTGCGAGAAGAATGGAAGAAGAAAATTACGAGTGTATCTTTGCACCTTACATTAGCGAGTAAGAATATAAAAACATATAAAATTCACTTTGTATGTGCTTTATTTTATTTTTATTAACATTATATAGATATGCAAATTAAAAAGTGTACCAATTAAGTACATTTATCTTCTGGATTGACAGAGAACATTGACAGTTGATGATACTTTGTCCCAAACAAAATCAAGTGGTTTGGTTGTGCTCGTTGAGAAGAAATCCCAGCATAGAGTTGATGAACAAGATTAACAGGTATGTTTTTAAATTGATAAGTTAGATCGATTTTGTAGTTAACTTTTCTTTGCTAATTTTAAATATATTATCTTTTACATTTTGTCTTATTTTGTCTTTTAAGTAATATGAATGTTTTTTATGTTGCAGTGCATTTCGTGCATACTTCATGGTTAAGGGAAAACGTAACCTTAGAACAGAGAAGCCTAAATGGGTTCGACTTAAGGTAAATTTAGTGAATGTTGTTAGTTGTTTTTATTTTGGGGAGTTATATTATTTCCTTCTTGGTTGTATGCGTCGATTTAGTTTGTGTAGTATAAATGATGTTTATGTTTTTCATACAAGTGTCGAAAACAATTGGGAGAAGAAGCATGTGGATATTTTGTCATGCGGTATATGCTCGAGATTATATCACTTGACATTACCAACTCGTTCGAAGAGGTAAGTTTTAATGAAAATCAACTTTTTGATGTATTTGAAATCGCACAATTTAATACAGTTTATAGTGATAATATTTGTTATTGTATCATGTAGGCTTTCAACATTGATGAGCCATATTCGGACGAGGACATTGAAAATATAAAAATGAGGTGGACGAAGTAATTTCTTGAGGTTACTTCATTAGGAAAATAGACTATCAGTTTACTTGCATTTTATGGAATTTGAAATTTATAACTGTGGTTGATGACTATTGTTGGTGTAGTGCATATGAAAACTATTTTTTATAACTTGGCGTTGTTGAAATATTTTGGTTGTTAGTATTTCTGATGTGAGTTTTTGTTGAATTCATGGAGTATTTTGAATGTATGAATGCTTGATTTTACATCGGTTTTATAGGTAAAAAAATGTATATTTAAATAAAATTGTTCTAAATGCTTGATTTTACATCGGTTTTTAAAGCTGATGTAAAAACCGATGTTATAATCCAAACATTTTACATCGGTTTTTAAAAAGCCGATGTAAAAAGACTATTTCGACAAAAAGTTTTAATGTCGGTTTTCATAATAACCAATGTCACTATAAGCATTATTCACATCGCTTATTTTGAAACCGATGTGAATTCGAGTAATAAGACATCGATTATTCTGATAACCGATGTTACATGCCTTTATCTACATCGGTTTTTATCAACGATCGATGTATATACAACTTTTTGCATCGGTTGTTACAAAAACCGATGTTAAATGTCTTACTTTGCATCGGTTGTATATAGAAACCGATGTAAAAGGGTTCGATTTTTTTCGTTTTTCAAGGCCTATTTTTTCCCTTATAACATCGGTTGTTGGGCAAAACCGGTGTAAACAAATTCTTTTTCACATCGGTTCAAAACCGATGTAGAAAAGACAGACTTTTAACATCGGCTGTTTCAACATCGGTTGTAAAAAAGGGTTTTAAACGATGTTAATATGATTTTTTAACCGATGTGAAAAGTATTTTTTCCACTGGTGTCCCCACGAAAAAGACGGGAGCCGTCAATACGAAAAAGACGGGAGCAACCGTAGACGTACCGTCACACGGATTAAGCTCTCTAAAATCTAGAGTTAGGCCTCATAGACTACCGGTTCACATGCATACATAGATTATCAAGCCAAGCATTTATAGAAATTAACATACATGGTAAGGTTTATCAACACCCACCTGGTAGACGAGGTACACAAAGTACGCAAGTAGAAAAACGTAGGTCGAGGGCTCGACTCCTCAAACACCTACATTTTTGCGAGATACTATATCAATAATCAATCTCACCACTCGAAAATAATCTAAAACCCAAACTTAATCAAATTAAGATTTAAGGGTTTTAATAGAATTTTTCGTGGACTTTGAACTCTGGAATTTTATTTTTAAAAGAAAAAGACTCGGAAATAGAAAATGGCCACTGAGACTTAAAATAATATATACTTTTTTATATATATATATATATATATATAAATATATATTCACCTCGTATAGAAGATAGAAGGAATCATTTGAATGAACTCATTATGATTAATACCCATCAGCACTTAGATTGTTATAAAAGAAAACATATATAATACAAGCAGCATGTTTCTATTCCAAATTAAACTAAATTAGTATGCTCATTAACCAAATACATATTAAAAGGTATTTGTAAGTTCAATAGAGAGTTGGCTTCTTTTCTCATATTACATCAAATTACATGGATATTTGTTGTACAAAGCCTTAATAATATAAAGTTCGAGCATAACAGAAAACTGTGGGCCTACGCAGAAAATGAATATAGCCTAGTTAAGCACGGAGGTTCGCTGCTTTATGGCTGGGAGCAGAGGTCGGGCAAGAACACTATTATGACTTCATATATATGTTGGTTATTAGTGTTTACTGGTTAGGACTTAAGGGTACTTTAGTGCTTTCATGTTCTATGCTTAGTACATATAAATTCCCTTTTTCCAGCTATTGCAAACGGTATTGTATCAGATTTTATTCACAGTAAATGAAAATGAAGAGTTCTTCTTCTGCAACTCGTTTTTCTTCTTCTTTTGGGCTCTGCCATTGAACATGGTATCAGAGCAGAAAACCTAAAAAAAGGAAGGAAAATCATGGTGTAAAATATGGCTTGGAACACGGTTGTTACCGGAGGCCGCAACATCAACAACAATGGCGACTCAAATGAGAATCGATCGGCGATTGTGAGGCCAGATGACCCGTTCTCACTGCACACTCCGATCAACCTGGGATGGCGTTGGTGTCGACGCCTCTGTCTGGTACGAATTATCAATCGTGGAGGAGAGCCATGACTATTGCACTCGGTGCGAAGACGAAGCTCGGCTTTGTTGATGGTCAAGTGAAGCGACCAGATCCGACGGCTATTGAGTTTGATCAATGGAGGAAGGTCGATTATACTGTGTATAGCTGGATTTTGAATTCGCTGAGCAAGGATCTCGTGGATGCCTTCTTGTACGCTGAATCTGCACAGGCGCTTTGGGATGAAATCGAGCAGCGATTTGGGGAAAGCAACGGTCCATTGCTATACCAGCTGCAGAAGGAGATTTCAAACATCAAGCAAGAAAATGACTCGATTTCATGTTACTTTACTAAACTTAAACGTCTTTGGGATGAGTACTCTAGTCTAGCTCCATTACCTGCATGCAACTGTGGTGCTTCTCAACAATTGATGATGTTAGAAGAGAATAGAAAATTATTACAGTTTCTCATGGGATTGAATGAGAGTTACGAAGGGGTAATGAGCCAAATACTCTTGCTAGATCCTTTACCTAACATCAATAAGGCCTACTCGATGATTCAGAGGGTGGAGAAGCAAAAGCAGGTGCAACAGTTGTTTACAGATAACCGAGAACAGAATGCTATGTTTACTAGAGCAAGCAATTTTGGAAAATCACCTAGTAAAGGAGGAAACATGAATGGTAATTGGCAGACTAATAGACCGAGAGGATATGGAAGGCTAACTAAGGAAGAAAAGGCAAAATTGAGATGTGATTACTGTCAAGAGACTGGACACTTAGCTCAATCATGTTTCAAGCTACACGGTTATCCCGATTGGTATAAAGGTTTCAAGGATGATAAAGGAAAATTGATTGGAAAGTTTCCAGCTAATTATGCTAAGGCTGAGGATGTAGGAAAAGGCTTTGGTGGAGACAAAAGGAATGATCTACCATTGCAGGACATCTCCAACTTGATCAAGCAGGAGATTGCAAAAATCCTAGGGACAGGAGCAGTTCAATCAGCTCCAAACAGTGAAGGACATGCACACTTTGTTGACTTTGCAGGTAGTCCATTGGAAGGTAACAATTCTTCGGCTCTTACTAGTGTAGAATTTATTGATGAGGTGTAATAACCCAACTTTTTGTTAATATAAGTGATGTATTATCTTTTATTAATTCCGTTCATTTTCAGCAAACAAGTTCGACGTTAAGTCGAAAAGTTTATCCGGTTACTTATTAACCAAGTCAAATTCGATAATTAATTTCTGAACCGTTTATTTTATAAACGGACATTACTAATCGGGATTAATTATTAATAATTCAGTATGTTCGGAATTAATTTATAAGTTGAAACTAAGCTAAGTCGAGAAAGAACGCAAGGTACACGAAGCATACGCATGTACACGCATTCATGCACGCATGCCGTGCACTCAGCCACGCACATGAACGCGCATCGTGCGCAGCACCGCGCAACGCATTAGCGCGCGCGTTAAGTACTCGCTAAGCACGCACTTAGGCAATGCTTAGTGACTTGATCGGAACAAACCCCCATCTTAATGTTACCATAAGGAAAAAATGTAAAGATAAACGTTGG